ACCAGCATGTTGACGTTGTAATTCTCGCTTGCTGGGCCAATCAGATGGTCATCACATTAGGAGCCGACCCTCTGCGCGCACGCCCCACCATCCGCCCCCGATTCCCCAGCCTGACTTGTGCTTGTGTGTGGTTATGAAGATCTATAGCTTTTTCTTGCCGGTGTAGGTTTGTGTATCCCAACCACAGTCAAGACACATCACCAGGGTCCCTGGTGCTGCCCTCTTATGACCACACCCACCGTCCCCCGCTCTCCGCCTTCCCTGTCTCTAACCCCTGGCATCCACCACTCTCTCCCGTTTCTAAAATGTTGTCACTTCAAAGTGTCACCTAACTGGAAGGATAGAGCGCGCAACTATCGGGATTGGTTTTTCTTACTCGGCGTGATTTCCTACACATCACCAGCTGTGTGTGTGTGTCGATGAGTCATTCCTCTTCATTACTGAGTGGTAGTCCGTGGCCTGCATATGCCTGTTCATTTACCTCTTCACCTGTTACAGACTCTCTATCGGGGCTGATTCCAGTGTTTGGCTCTTACAGCGAAAGCTGCCATGACCATTTGTGTACAGGTTTGGGTGAATATAGGTTTTCATTTCTTTGGAATAAATGCCCAGGAGTGCAGTTGCTGGGTCATAGAAGAGTTGTATGTTGAGTTTTAAAAACAAACGGCCAAACTTTTCCAGAGTAGCTGTAGCTTTCCCGTTCCCACCAGCCATGTGTATGGGACCCAGTTTCTCTCCATCCTCACCAACACTTGTCACCGGCTCTATTTCTTGTTTTAGTCATTATGATGGATGTGCTGTGACATCACATGGCGGTTAATCTTCATTTCTCGAATGTTTAATGATGGTGAGCTTCTTTTCATGTGTCCTTGCCATCTGCATATCCTCTTTGGGGAGATGTCTTTGTCATTAGCCAGGGTTCTAACTGGATAGTTTGTTATTTTACTGTGGAGCTGTGAGAGGGCTCTATGGTTCTAGGTATTAGTCCTTAATTGAGTATGTGGGTTGCAAATATTTTCTCCAAGTTTGTAGCTTGTCTTTTTAGCCTCTTCACATGGACATTCACAAAGCAAAAGTTTTTCATTTTGATGAGGCCCAATTTATCAGTTTTTTATGGGTCTTTCTTTTTTTTATGGATCAAGTCTACGAACTTTGTCTGGCTTTAATTTCTGAGGATTTTCTCCTGTTGTTTCTTTTCTAAAAGGGCCCTGGGTTTTTAATCCCTGTGATGTCAGCTTGTTATGAGGACTGATAGGTAAGGCTGGCTGGCTTCCCACCCTCCTGGCCCTTTATTCTGGTTGGAGACCTGTTCTCGCTGTCTAAGGCGGAGGTCCCCATGGAGGAGCTTGTCAAAGGCACCTACACAGGCTCCGTCCTGAACAATCTGGTTCAGAGATCAGGGATGAAGCTACCCCTGCCTTTTACTTAGGAACCTGCCATCAGCCATTGCTCATTCCCCAGCCCAGCCAAGACTGAACTCATCAGCCCAGGCCTTCATTGGGCCAGGCACTGTTCTCTGGACGGAGTTACAGATGTGAGCAAGGCAGAGAGAACAGACAATAAGCAGCCAGAATAGATAGTCATGTAGATGTGAGAAGGTGAGAAATGCAGAGTTGGGGTGATGGGACTGCTGGGGTGGTGCTCAGTGCTCGAGGAAGACTTCCCAAGAAGAAGGGGAGGCAGAGTCATGGCCAGAAAAATCTCAAAGGCTGGAGGCGGAGCAGCTGGTTGCCTGAGGAGCAGGGAGGATGCCGGTGGCTGCAGGCGATGGAGGATCAATGCCTGTGGCTCTCATGGAACTATGATGACTTGGCTTTTACAAACAAGAGGGACCTTTGGCAAACAAGGGCTGTGAACGGACTCACGCGTTAAAGGAGTTATTCTGCCTGCTAAGAGGACAGCAGGTGGGGAGCAAGCTCAGAAGCAGGGGTCCCAGGGGTGAAGCTCTTGCAATAATTCCGGCAGAGAGGAGGGTGGCGGGGGCCAGGGGAAGCGGTGGCCATGCTGAGGCGCGCTCCCGGCCTGGTGCATGTTGAAGGACCAGCAGGATTCCTGGCGCTTGGGGGTAAGGTGAGAGGAGGGATCAAGGGCGTTTGGCTGGATCCAGCTGCCGTGGCCTGAGCTGGGAGGCTGTAGCCGGGGTGGGCTTGGGAATGACCCCGAGCTCAGCCATGGCTTTGAGATGCCCATTAGACCAGCGGTCGCCAGCCTTTCGGACCTCACGGACCACAGGGGAGCGCGGAGCACCAGTTGGCGACCGCTGCATTCAATGTCTCCAGTTAGCTGCTGGGTCTGGAATTCAGGAAGGAGCTTGAACTAGAGAGAAAAATGTCCATTTCCAGGTGGTGTTCAGGGTCAGGAGCTTGGGCTGCTGATGGGGGAGTAGGTGTGGAGAGAGGGGAGGAGAGAACCACGCCCACTCCTGGGCATGTGGAGGTGGGGGCTCCCACTCGCCCTAGGGCAGGAGGTCCTGAGGTGGCCCAGAGTGACGTGTTGCTTTCCTTTGTATCTGCCCTTTCAGGGTGGCAGCAGTTTAGCAGGTTAGGGTGGCTCCTGGCACCTTCCCTCCATTGTGGGTCCTGAGGGAAGACCTCGGGCAGGGAAGCACCGTTTCCCCCATGACCTTCTTCCTCTCTCTCCAGGAGCCAGTGCGGCAGCACTTCTTCTCCAAGCACGACAACCGCACTTCCTTCGACAAGGTGAGTGCGGGAGAGGAGGGGGGCAGGCAGGGAGGTGGGGGAGGCAGTGCGGGAGAGGAGAGGAGGAGCGGGCCAGGCTGGTGCTGAGCAGGGAAACAGCTGCTGTGGCTCCCCTGCCAGCGGCCTGACTATGTGCAAGCCTCCCAGGGGCCACTGACGTTCTGGGGCCTCACTCCGGAATGGAGGCAGGCCCAGAGGCGGGGTTCAGGCCAGGCACAAGCCAGGCATCACCGGGCAGGCTTGGCTTTAGGGGGCACCCAAGGCCAAGCCTGGTGCCAGGACTGTGGGCCAAGGGCCCGTACCGCTGAGGAGGGTCCCTACTGCCTACTGCAGGGCATCGGGAGACGGAAAAACATGGAGCGCCTGTGTCACCGGCCCACCTTCCTGCACTGGGCCTCCAGCGAGCTGGAGCTCTACCAGCAGCGGCCCCTGGAATCCTCCTACCAGTCCAACTTCCGGTTATCCCCGGGACCCAGTGACGCCCCTCAGCGCCTCGTCCACTTTGTGCAGATCCATCACCCCCGCACCTGTACCACCTACCAGCAGAACTTCTGCCAGCCGTCCCAGAGCGGCCACTGTGGCGGCGACTGCGGGGGCCCCCCGGCCTCCGGCCCCAGTACCCTGACTAACCTCCCAAAGATCCCCGGGTCCAAACCGCTGCAGCATTACCTTCATGAGGGGGTCTCCGAGTGTCTAAACTGGTCCAGAGCATTAAACAAGGATGGCTATTGCCCTGGCCAGTTGGCTCAGTGGATAGAGCGTCAGCCTGCAGACTGAAGGGTCGTGGGTTTGATTCCAGTCAACAGCACGTACCTCAAGGGCATGTACCTCAGTTACAGGCTTGATCCCCGGCCCCAGTCGGGGTGCATGTGGGAGGCAACCAATTGATGTGTCTCTCTCACATCGGTGTTTCTCCCTGTGTGTCTCTTTCTCTCCCTTCCACTCTCTCTAAAAATCAATGGGAAAATATCCTCAGGTGAGAATTAACAAAAAAAGAATGGCTGGCACCGAGGCCTCCCTGGCCTGTGCTTGTAGCCCAGGAGGGCGCAGAGCTGGAGCGCAGTAAGACACTGCCAGGCCTTATGCCCGGCTCCTATGGCACTGGTGCCCCTGGTGCCTCTGTGCTGGGCAGGGGGTGTTGCCTAGGGAGCTCTGCCGTTGAGTGAGAAGGGGCACAGCCAGCAGGAGGCTATGGGTCCAGGAGGGTTACCATGGCTACAGCAGATGGGTTCTGGGACCCCAAATCCATTCTTGCAGCAAACCCAGCTGTGAGCCCCTCACACTCAGTGAGACTGCAGAAAGCCAGAGCCAGTGGCCCTAACTAGTGGGCAGCGAAGCCGGGACGAGGAGGCGAGGGCCAGCAGCTTGGCTTCTCTGGAGCTTCGCCTCCAGGGGTCTGGTGGTGGCCACACAGTCCTGCCCAGCAGACGGCTTCCCTGCAGCTGGGACGGAGGGAGACTGTCCGCCACACCCCACGAGACCTCCTGCGGCGAGCAGGGCGTGGCCGAGATGCTGAGGCCCAGGCCTGGAGAGCGTCCTGCCCGCGTGGTGTGTGGTCGTTTTCTGAGCTCTTCTCTGCTCGTCCTGTGAGGACCCCCACCATTCAGGACAGCGGGACAGCGGCCGCCCTGGGTCCCCACAGAGAATCTAAGGCTGAGGAGGGGCTGAGACAGCAGACACTTTGGGGGCAGCGGCCGATCGAAAAGGCTCTTCTGGACCCTTATCCTTGGGACAACGGAAGCCCCACAGGAGGACAGGGCTGCGGGGGACAGGAGTCCACACCAGGGCCACGCACCAGCTTTTAGCAGCATCTTTACTTCCGTATCTGAACTCCCTGGGTCCTCACAACAGCCCTGTGAGGTAGGTGGGGCAGGAAGGTTTCGGAGATCCCCGTGGAGGTGAGGATGCTGAGGCACAGAGAGGTGAAATGACCGGCCCGAGGCCACACAGCCAACAGTGTGAAGGGCCCAAAGCTAACGTTTTTGACCCTTTGGAGGTTCCTGCGGTTACTCTTCCATTCCCTCTGTGTCCCCCACCCTCCCCAACGCTCCTGGGTCCCCAGGGGCCTCCAAGGCAGGCTGGCAGCCAGGACTTCTCAGGAATAGTCACGGGGAGGCCTGGTCGACTCCAGGCAGGCACTGAGCCTGCAGGGCTGAGGCCGGCTCTCCCCTCCCCCACTTCCCAATCAGACAGAGCAAGGGTGGGGGAGGCCTGGCCCATGAGTGAAGGGGGGTGAGGTGGTGGAAGCGTATGGGTACCCTACGCTACAGATGGCGCCTCCCGCCGGGGTCCCCGCGGCTGTGTCACAGCGCCCGCGCCTCCATCCCACAGAGCAGCTGCCTGGCCCTGAGCTGCTCCAGGGGACAAGGTCCCTGCAGGATTCAGACCCCATCACGCAGACACAGAGCCTCCACGGCCTGGCTGGGACCCTGCCGCCACGCCCCCGATGACAACAGCTGGGGCCTCCGCCTGCAGGCTGGAACAGGAGCAGCGGGCCGTGGGCATGCGGGCAGCACCGCTCAGCGCCGCCAGGCAAGGCTGAAGCTCTCCGCGGAGCCCAGCGGGCACGGCTGGATCTCTGCAGGAAAACAGCGGTTGGGAAGGCACAGGCTGAAGGGCGC